AAATATTAATATAGGTAGAATGGGAGAGTGTGGATCTAGCCCTACCCTTACATTCTTATAATCTCATACATAATTTAATTCCTTATGTGATTTATCATTTATATATACTCGAAGCTTGCTTATAACCATTGCGACAAATTGTACGCATTAAAAGTTAATTCTTGATCATCAGCAAAATTCAATTACAATGTCTTCGTACACTGTTAGGAATATATGGATTTGAATGTAAATTTAGTATTTGTTTTCTTGGAAACGACTAAATTACAAGTGAAATATAAATAGGATAATCTACTAATTATCCTCTGATTTCGTATTCAACCAAACACTGATGATATTATTTGAAGTCGTTAAGGCCTCATTGTGTTTAGTATTTGAATAAGGATAAAATTTAACTAAAGCTGGTATTCGAGATGCATTTTGTCCATTTTTACTTTATTCAAAATTAAAGAGGAGTTTGTTATTATTTTTTTTCACTTAGGGGGTGTTCCAATCTTTTTTTTTTTTTACCAGACTAATCCCCCTAAGGCTAGCAGAACCTTGCTCAAGAATACCAGCAATGTTACCACAACGAGGGTCGAACACGGGACATTACCATAAAGACGGACTTACTAGTCCGGCCGAGCTACCGTCAGGACTAAAGAGGAGTTTATTAGATATTGCGCAACATGTCTACATCCCTTTCGCCAACCTATTTTAGCAAGTGTTCTTGTTTAGTGAGTAATAAGGTGAGATTGGATTAGACACTGTTAGGACTACTCTTTCGAAAAATAGTAGTAGTAGTCTACTAATCTAGTGCTCTTAGGATTTTTTTTTTTTTTCCTTTTTTGTGAGGGGTGAATTGCAAAATCTATAAAATCAAAGGGGTCAATCCGCGGTTAACAGAAACAGAAGAAATCGATGAAAAGCAAACGAATATACCCCAAAATCTAGGGTTTCTCTGGCAACTCCCATATAAAAACGACACCACTTACCTTCGCTTTGGCCGTCTCTCTCCCGATTCCGCAGGTTTCAGTCTTCCCTTTTTCGAAACCCTTCAATTTTTCTTCATTAATTTGGGGAATCAATGGCTGTTACCTTCTCAGATCTCCACACAGAGGCTGGCCTCAAAGCCCTCGATGAATTTCTTGCTGGCAAAACTTATGTATCTGGGTCCGTATAATCTGGAATTAACTGATAATTTTACTGGGCTCTCTTGTTCTTGTGTAAAAAATGTTCTTTTTCTTGTTTTGAGCCAATTTGAATGGATTGATTTCAGGGATCAGCTTACAAAGGATGATGTGAAGGTATACGCTGCCGTCTTGAAGCAGCCCAGTGCTGATTTGTATCCCAATGCTAGCCAATGGTACCAATCCGTCTCCTCAAAACTTGCCCCAAGGTATGATTTTTTTGTTCTTTTTTGCAATACTTTTATGTTTTTTGACGCGGGTTTTGCTTAAATTGTGGATTTGAAGATTATTTAGTGATGGTTAGTGATGATTTAATATCCTCATTTAAGGGTTTTTCGCTTTTTTTTTTTGATATAAAGTTCGAAATTTTATTTAATTTTAATGGATTTTAACTTGTGCATTTTGACAATTTCTGTCATATTTTTAGCTTTCCTGGAAAAGCTGTTGGAGTGAGAATTGGCCAAGGTGCTGCTGCAGAAGCTGCTCCAGCTGTGGTGGCCAAGGTAGTCTCCTCGACATCTAACTACTTAGCTAGTAAATTTATTGTTTGACTTGTTTGCTTTTCGTACTTTTTTTTAATCTCCACGTCTGTGTTTAAATTTCATATGAGAGAGAACTTTGATGGTCTTAAATATGTTGCGGATCTTAAATATGTTATGGTCGATAGTTAATAATTGCATATCAAAATAGCAAGTTTTATTATTTGGAGAAGTAGAATTAATCTTGAGGCTTCCTTTAAAGGAGTTAAATTTGAAAATTCTAGACTATATGAGTTCCAGGATGAATTTCCACTCTTGAAAGGGTCCAGATCATTGAGTTTTTTGTTGGTAGATCTTATCTTAATTTTTGAAAGCACCACTGGCAATGTGAAATAGTCTATCTTTGAGATTGCAATGCATTGTTCTGTGACTTACTAAGAACCACAAACACGCTCAAGAAGTCATGATCAGTTTCCTTCGTAATAAATTTTACTCTAGTGTTCAACAGACAAAGATGGACTCTGAGTATATAGTCGGCTCTCTTTTTGGCATTAAATTTTAAAATACACTAGTTCGGAGATGCTTTGAAATTTATCGAACACGTAATGGCGCCCCATAGATGGTACCATCTTTTTGGGCAACAACTCGACAGATGTGAAATTGCATAAATGGAAAGAAATTAAAATCCTCTTAGGGTAACAAACAAAAACATGAAGCAAAATTGTTGACAGATGTCATATACAAGAACAGAAAACTTTATTTTGGATAAAGTGCTTCAGAATGGTTGCATAACTTGTTTTTCTTTTTCAGTCATGTGTAAGGACTGCTTTATGCATGATGTTTGATTGTTGTTGTAGAATCTGCACTGCATGAAGTATTATATTTAAACATGAATTAATACTTCACATTTGAATGCACAACATACAACCTGGTATACTAAATATTTACGTGTTTTTTCTTATATATGATAGTTGATAATTTCATCATTGCTGAAACTATGTATATCCACTTCTGCAAGAGATGATGTCCTTGTTGATAAGTGTAGGATCAGGTCCATGTTTTGTGTCTGTATCCATGCATCTGGACAAACTTGTGTGATGTAATAATAGCCATGGACCATGAACTGCTGCTGGTTTTGGCATAGGTTTCATTATGCATTCATGAACGCAGCTTGAGGTTTAATATGTGCAAATTATTCTTGACAAAATTGACTTTGATCTTTGGCAGGAAGCACCTGCAGCAGAAGATGATGATGACCTTGATCTCTTTGGCGATGAAACAGAGGAAGAAAAGAAGGCAGCAGAACAGAGGGAGGCTGCTAAAGCATCCACCAAGAAGAAAGAGAGTAAGCTTCTTTTCAGATGGTTTCTGGCAATGTGCTTGTGATCATTTTGTTTAAAAATAACTTATTGATGGTTTGAATATTGTCGATTGACACTAGTAAAATTGGAGATTTTGTTGGCCATAGTGGTTAACAACTAAATTATCGATCCAAAGAAAACACTTGATCTTAGGAATCTAAGGTGTGAGTTTTGCCTTGTACCTGTTGAATCAAATTTGAACTTTTCCTGATAAATTCATAATCAATTTGAATTCATAATCAATTTGAACATCTACGGTTCTATTCCCATTTGTTTGGTCATGTAATGTATTTCGTAAATCCTATCTCCAGGTGGAAAATCATCCGTTCTTATGGATATTAAACCTTGGGATGATGAGACAGACATGAAGAAGCTCGAGGAGGAAGTTCGCAAAGTCGAGAAGCCTGGGCTTTTGTGGGGAGCCTGTATGTTTTGTTTTTAACCTTTGTTGATTTCTCATTTAGTATGCCTGAATATTTCTTTAAGATACTAAAAATCCCCATTTCTTGTCTTGTGCAGCAAAACTGGTCCCTGTCGGTTACGGTATAAAGAAGTTGCAGATCATGCTTACCATAGTGGATGACCTTGTCTCAGTTGATGATCTCATTGAGGACCAGCTCACAGTTGAGCCATGCAGCGAGTATGTGCAAAGCTGTGACATTGTTGCCTTCAACAAAATCTGAGACCAGTGCCAGTGGACATACCAGCTCTAACGATTATGGGCTGTAATTTTGTTACTTTCTTTAGTTTTATATATATTTTTTTAAATCTATGTTTATGATATAACGTACTTTTCTATTAGTTGTCGGCTCTTCTGTTTGCAAGATTGAAAGATACTTGAGCTATTTAAACCATCCCAAGTTTGAGCATGATGCGTGTTGATTTACATTTGGATTAGACAAGACTAGCTCTTTTTTAATTGACCCATCCTGAATAAACCAGAAACATGCTGGACCTGATGTTTTGACTAGCATAACAGTTCTATTTTCCTTTGACTTTGAGCCCATCCTCATCTGCTTGGTTGGTGCTCTGAAGTCGGGGCATGGGGCAAAATAAAGATCATCAGTATGAAATGTGCAGGTATGGGGTTTGCCAACCTTCCAAAGGAGTGTACCACAAATCTCAGAAGAGTACAAATTTTCATCATCTTATCTCAGTGCATAATTTAATATGCAATGATTAATGGGAGTATTATTGAATCTAGTAGGCACCCAAAATGTCAGTAATTTTTTTGCCATGTCAAAATTAAGATCTCCAAGTTCATGTCTCAAACTCATAAAGCTACATTTCACTTCATTTACATTCTGCGTTAAACTACGCCTCAGATCCAATGCTCATTCAACACTCAAATTCCAGATGCACAAACTGAAAGCTGTTTTGTTCACTTCACCCATTAAGTTGTATAGATCTTGTCAAGTTGAGGAGCATATATAATCTTAAAAGGCTAAGATTGAATAATAGAAAAGGGAAAGCGTGCAATGATATAATTTTCATGCAAAAGGAAAAGAAGTGTTCAAGAAATGATCTTGCAACTATACATGTGGTCAGAATTGCCAAACTCACATTCAAAGCAACAAAACCAGAATGGGCAATGAAACAGAAGAGCAGATTGCTCCATCTTCTATTCCACAGTTCAGATATAATGGACATAACTAAACAATTTAATGATCGACTTCTATGGCATAATTACATCAATAATGAAATGATCATCTTGACTCAACCACAACAAATTAAAGACTATCAGCTCCTGCAGATAGGGAAAGTGGAATGCGAACTGGCCAAATTGGAAGCACAAACAAGAAGCAGGACCAGCAAGCCTCACCAGAGATCTGATATATTTCTTTGGGGTTGTTTGGAAATCCAAGCGATTTTAATCTCCTGGTTTGGATGTTGAATGTGACCAAATTGTTATTCCACCCAGATAAACTATATCTGCATCATATGGCTGGAAGGCTACCGGTATGGCAGTTAACATGCGAAGATGCAGACTATCATCATATAATTTCTTCATTCCTTACAGTGTGTTGTAGGAACCACTTGTTAGAGTTGTAGTCCTCGAGAACCCATATTTTGAAGTCTGAAAATCCCTGTTGATGTCGACGAGAAACTTCAAAATACTTCAGATATCCTTGATGAACACCATACATACTAGAATTGAAACCATATCTTGACATGCTATATTCCCCGTCTGCATCAGTTGGAAACTCAATGATGCGAAACTCATTAGGATTATTGTAAGGATCATAGGCTATAATTCCAAGTTCACTATCACTCCAGTGCAGATTCTCCTCGAAAAAGATAGGCTTGTGGTGACAGGAAATTCTTATTGCACATCCGGAATTTACAACAAAGTCCTCCCATATTCCAGATTCAGAAGAAAATATCTCAAACTCGAGGAATCCTCGTTTCTGAGGACAACAATGAACTAAAACAACTTTATAACTTCTTAATATTCCTGCCTCAACTTGTGTAACAAACCCACATTGACCTGTTTGAAGAGATGTTTCGGTGCAGGAAGAGCAAACCACTGCTTGGTAACAGGATTACAAATGTAATATTCCACAATGTGGTTGTATAAATATGGCTTATATTGAAACCAACCATACAACAAAAATCCATTGTGAATTGCTCTGATAAAACAGGTTTGCCCCTTCGCTTCCTGAGAATCTGGTAAAGGGAGTATGTGAAAATCTGGTGAAGTAGGATTGCAAGAATACATATTCGCTAGTGGCTTAGTATGCTGATCAGCAAAGTGGGATATTGTAGAACCCTCCACATGCATTCTCTTGAAGAGAAATGCCCATTGCTGGCACTGCACTGGCAAAGCTGAGGCTTGAGAAATGTAGAAACGAGCAAAAGATGGATGAGAGATCAGAGAAAGCCATTGTTTTGAGACGCTTTTGAACCTAAAGACAGACTTGATAGGAACCCTGCAGAGGACCTCAATCAAGAACCAGTCAGGCATACAACCATCTTTGAACCACATATTATGTGTCATTTTCTTGAGCATCCTTGAACAACATTCCCGTTGTAACAACAATTAGATGCAACATATGCTGTAGTACTAATGTAGAAACAACATATGAGCATCTAATTCAAGTTCAATGAAATCTGGATGCTTTGATCAGAATATTGGTCAAGAGAAAATGTTAAACGTATAGGCTTAATGTAGATTCTACCAAGAAAGGTGAGAAAGAAAAAAGGCAGCCAAGAATCACAATCTTGAAGAATAATAGAACAAGAGAACAGAATTACAAGTCAACAAAATGCTAGGGGCAAAAGGAGAAAGGAGGTTGACATGCGAATTTGGCGGGGTGTCTGAGAGATAAGATAAGATTGGATACTTTATTTGATTGTTTTGTGGACGCCAGTTCACTTGCTTTCTAAATAAAGAAACTGCATTGGTGTGGATAGGGACATTTGATATTTTATTAAATATTATGGATTGACCTTTTATTGAGTATTTTATTATGGAGATCCAATGCCTTTATAAATTTCTATTTTTTTTTACTTGAATACTTTATTGATATTTGGTTATTGTTGTAAAACTAATAAACTACTATAGTATGAATAGAGATATTAGAGAAAGGAGTAGAGAAATAGAGAGTGATATTCTTATATTCCAATAAGATACAAAAGTCCTCTAAAAGGGTGTCAATGTACCTCTATATATAGGTACTTCAAAATTAAAGGTACATTAATCCTATTAAACACCCACTACTACAAGAATATGAAAAAACCTATAAAACGGTTTCTCCACTACATGAATAGATTTATGGATTGTAACTTCTATACATAATATAGTCATAAATCATGAATTAATCCTCTTAGGAAATACAAAGGGACATCCACATTTTAGTTGTTTCATAACACTCCCCCTTGGATGTCCATTACACAAAGAATATGCCTCGTTAAAACCTTACTAGGGAAAAACCCATCGGGACAAAAACCCTAGTGAAGGAAAAAGAGTACACTATTCCTGTGTATTAATTTCTCCCCCTGATGCAAACATCATTTGAGATCTTTTAATCATCGCATTCCAATATTCTTCGCCAATTGCACTGAGATATGGTACTTCAGGACCAAGTATCTCTTCATTTTCCTCTCGCAGTCTAAAAGGATCCTTATTAGGATCTAATGATCTGACGATCATTGGAGTACTTAATGTATATGTTTTATCCATATAAAATCGCTTTAATACCTTCTGGGTATATGCAGTTTGGTGGACAAAAATTCCACTCTTCAAATGTTCAATTTGTAAACCAAGGAATTTTATTTTTCCAAAATCTTTGATATCAAATTCCTTCTTCAAATATTCAACATTATTTTGAATCTCTTCAGGAGTTTCAATCAGATTTAGATTATCAATATATATAACAATTATCACAAAATTTGATCTATTTTTCTTGATAAAAACACATGGACATATTGGATCATTGGTATAACTTTCTTTAGTTAGACATTCATTGAGGCAGTTATACCACATATGTCCAAATTGTTTGAATCCATACAAAGACCTTTGTAATTTAATAAAATAAGATTTGATTTGCGTGCTTCAGGCATGTTGAATCCTTCGGGGATTCTCATATAAATATCATTTTCAAGATTTTCATATAAATATGCAGTAACGACGTTCATTAGACGCATATCTAATTTTTCATGTACTACAAAACTCATAAGATATCTAAATGTGATAGTATCCACTACAGGTGAATACGTTTCATCATAATCAAATCCAGACCTTTGTAAAAATTCTTGGGCTACAAGTCTTGCTTTATACCTCACAATTTCTTTTTTCTCATTTCTTTTTCTCACACATACCTATTTATCTTCTACTGGTTTTACATCTTCAAGTGTTTAGACTACAGGTCCAAAAACTTTCTTTTAACCAGTGATTCCAATTCAAATTGGATCGTATCTTTTCACTTTGACCAATTATTTCTATACCGATATTCATCAACCGATTTAGATTTATGATTCTCATCAACTTTTATAATATCAAGTGCTACATTTCATCAGGCTCCAATTAAATTTTCTATGATTTCATTCTCTACAGGAGTTGGCTCTTCGGGAGCGACCTCTTCAAGAGGTTGAATTTTATCATGACATTTATTTAATCTCCGGAGATATTTGAAATCAATTTATGCCTTATTTAGATAGGCCGACTTTAAATTTATTTGTAGCACTTGTACATGTCCTTCAGGGATATCAATCTTAGCTAGAGTATTTCCTGCAGGAATAGTTGATTTAATGACTCTCCTGGAGTCGATAAATATAACTTTCTACAAATGAAGAATTTCTTGAACTTCTAGTTCACATTATTTTGTATGAGGAACGAGAAAATTCAATTTTTTTAAAATGATTTCCTTTCGATTGATCTTTTCCTCCCCTTAATGTCGGGAATCGTAATTCATCAGAATAAATAAATCATTCAATAGATCACCCATCAATATTTTACGATATTTAATCGTAAAAGGTGATTCATGCCGAAAATAAATTTAAATTTCTTTCGGAGCCATATATAATATAAAGAAGGTATGTATAAATACTTGTCGGCTCTCAAATATTCTCACTTTCGTCAAATCACATATACATTGGGATCAGTAAACTTCTGGTTTACTGCAATTGATGATTATAAATCAAATAAGAATGAAGACAACTATATCGATAACCATTTTTATTTGGTTATGAGTCAAATATTTCTCATTTACGAATATTTGGTTGTGCGGTGTATGTTCCAATTTCACCGCCCCAACGTCGTAAATTGGGCCCACAAAGAAGATTGGGGATATATGTCGGATATGAATCACCTTCAATCATTAAGTATATGGAACCATTAACAGGTGATTTATTTACTGAGAGATTTGCAGATTGTCATTTTGACGCAGTCACATTTTCCGACATTAGGGGGAGATAAAAATCAACCGAAAAAGGAAATCACTTGGAAAATATCATTGAATTTTTCTCTTGATTCTCGTACTAAAGAATATGAATTAGAAGTTCAAAGGATATACATTTGCAAAAAATTGCAAATCAATTACCGGATGCATTTAATGACTCCAAAAGAGTTACTAAATCACATATTCCTGCTGAAAATGCTCCAATTGATATCCCTGAAGGACAAATCACAAGTGCTAATGAGTCTAAAGCACACCTGAAGCGTGGGAGACCTCTTGGTTCCAAAGATAAAAATCCTCGAAAGAAAAGAGGAGTAGATGAATCAACAATTAGTGACAAAATTCAACCTCCTGAAGAGGTCGCTCCTAAAGAGCCAATTCTTGAAGAGAATGAAATTATAGAAAATTCAATAAATTTTGTCACTTCAAGGAAAAGTTGGAACCGAAAAGAAATAATTATTAATAATATTTTCGCATATAATATAGCACTTGATATTATGGCAGAGGACGAGAATCATGAGTCTAGATCGGTTGATGAATGTCGAGGTAGAAATGATTGGCCAAAATGGAAAGATGTGATTCAATCTGAATTAGACTCACTGGTTAAAAGAAAAGTTTTTGGATTAAACACCTGAAGGTGTAAAGCCAGTAGGATATAAATGGGTATTTGTGAGAAAAAGAAATGAGAAAAATGAAATTGTGAGATATAAAGCAAGACTTGTAACCCAAGGATTTTCACAAAGGCCTGGATTTGATTATGATGAAACGTATTCACCTGTAGTGGATGCTATCACATTTAGATATCTTGTGAGTTTTGCAGTACATGAAAAATTAGATATGCGTCTAATGGACGTCGTTACTGCATATTTATATGGGAATTTTGAAAATGATATTTATATAAGAATTCTCGAAGGATTCAACATGCCTGAAGCATGCAAATCAAATTCTAAAAATATTTATTCTATTAAATTACAAAAGTCTCTGTATGGGCTCAAACAATCTGGACGTATGTGGTATAATCGTCTCAATGAATGTCTGACAAAAGAAGGTTATACCAATGATCCAATATGTCCATGTGTTTTTATCAAGAAAAATGGATCAAATTTTGTGATAATTGCGGGATATATGGATGATCTAAATTTAATTGGAACTCCTGAAGAGATTCAAAATAGTGTTGAATATTTGAAGAAAGAATTTGAGATCAAAGATTTTGGAAAGACAAAATTCTGCCTTGGTTTACAAATTGAACATTTGAAAGGTGGAATTTTTGTCCACCAAACTGCTTATATCCGGAAGGTATTAAAGCGGTTTTATATGGACAAAGCACATACATTGAGTACCCCAATGGTTGTCAGATCATTAGATCCTAATAAGGATCCTTTTAGACCACGAGAGGAAAATGAAGAGATACTTGGTCCTGAAGTACCATATCTCAGCGCAATTGGTGCACTAATGTATCTTGCTAATTGTACAAGACCTGATATATCATTTGCAGTAAATTTATTAGCAAGATTTAGTTCCTCGCCCACAAGACGACATTGGAATGGTATTAAACATATTTTTCGCTATCTCCAAGGAACAATAGATCTTGGTTTATTTTATTCAAATAAATTCAAACCTGAATTGGTTGGTTATGCTGATACTGGGTATTTATCCGACCCGCATAAAGTAAGGTCTCAGACTGGTTATTTATTTACATATGGAAGCACAGCCATTTCTTGGCGATCTACAAAGCAATCACTAACCGCCACTTCATCGAATCATGCTGAAATAATAGCAATTCATGAAGTCAATCGAGAATGTGTTTGGTTAAGATCAATGACCCACTATATCCGGAAGAATTGTGGGTTATCCTCCGGAAAAGAAAATCCTTCAACTATATTATATGAAGATAATGCAGCTTGTATAGCTCAATTGAAAGAAGGATATATTAAAGGAGATAGGACGAAACATATTTCCAAAATTCTTTTTTACTCATGATTTGCAAAAGAATGGTGAAATTGATGTGAAACAAATCCGATCAGATAATAATCTGGCCGATTTATTTACCAAGGCATTACCAACTGCGACATTTGAGAAATTGGTGAAGAATATTGGAATGTAACGATTAAAAGATCTCAAATGACGTTTGCATCAGGGGGAGAAATTATTACACAAGAATAGTGTACTCTTTTTCCTTCACTAGAGTTTTTGGTCCCACTGGGTTTTTTCCTAGTAAGATTTTAATGAGGCATATTCTTTGTGTAATGGACATCCAAGGGGGAGTGTTACGAAATAACAAAAATGTGGATGTTCCTTTGTATTCCTAAGAGGATTAATTCATGTTTTATGGCTACTTATGTATATAAGTTATAATTCATAAATCCATTCATGTAGTGGAGAAACCGTTTCATAGGTTTCTTCATATTATTGTAGTAGTGGATGTTTAATAAGATTTATGTACCTTTAATCTTGTAGTGCCTATATATAGAGGTACATTGAGACCCTTTGGGAGGACTTTTGTATCTTATTGGAATATAAGAATATTACTCTCCATTTCTTTACTTCTTTCTCCAATATTTCACTTGATATTATAGTAGCTTATTTGATTAGTTTTATAACACGTTATCAGCACGAAAGCTCTACTTTTGAGCAAAAAGGTGAAAACGGAGGCGCTACTTTGAACAAAAGTGAAGCACAAGATTTTGCCGAAATTCTATCCGTATTTCTTCAAGTGACTTTTGAGATAAATTTCTAAGTCAAAATCTTATTTCAATTTCTTATGGCTAATCTTACAAAATAAGAGTTTGTATCTCTTGATATTTCTGGAAAAAATTATTGATCATGGGTATTGGATGTTGAAATCCATCTCGAGGCAATGGGTCTTGGTAATACTATTGTGGAAAAAAATGAATTCTCAAACCAAGACCGTGCCAAAGCTATGATTTTTCTTCGTCATCATTTAGATGAAGGATTAAAATCAGAATATCTTACTGTTAAAGATACTCTTGTCCTTTGGCGAGATTTGAAAGAAAGATTCGACCACCTGAAGTTGGTCGTTCTTCCAAAAGCCCGATATGATTGGCTTCACTTACGGCTGCAAGATTTTAAATCTGTCAACGAATATAATTCAGCTATGTTCAGAATCACTTCTCAATTATCATTATGTGGCGAAAAAGTCACTGATGAAGATATGTTAGAGAAAACATTTTCTACCTTTCATGTCTCTAACATACTCTTGCAGTAGCAATATCGAGAGAAGGGGTTTAAAAAATATTCTGAACTTATTGCATGTCTTCTCTTGGCTGAACAAAATAATGAATTGTTGCTGAAAAATCATGAGTCCCGACCAACTGGTGCAAGTCCATTCCCTGAAGCGAATGCGACCCAATTTCAAAATTTTGGTCGAGGTCGTGGCCGTGGCCGTGGAGGAGGCCGCCGACGTGGCCGTGGCCGTGGACGTGATTATAGTAAATTTGTGTCCCGTGAAAATTTTAACCGTGGCAAGCTACAATCAGAAAAATAACTACCGGTGTGGTATGGAAGGTCATTGGTCTCGTACCTGTCGTACGGCCGAACATCTTGTTGACCTCTATTCAAGCATCATTGAAAAAGAAAGACAAAGGTGTTGAGACAAATTTCATTGATCAAAAGAATGACTATGATGATGGTGATGATGCTGACATGACACACCTCGATGTTGCTGATTTTTTTGAACATCCTGAAGATGTCAACAAATATCCCATGATTATTTAGATATTTTATGATGCTTTATATCTTTCACGTAATTTCCTTTCCATTGAATATTTATTTTCGCATCTTTATTAATATTTATTTTTATTTGAAAATTTCTTCCTGAAGAAGAAATGGATGTCAAATATTTGGGATTAAATAATGGTGATTATGATATTTGTCTCATTGATAGTGCTACTACGCACACCATATTGAAAAATAAAAAATATTTTTCTTGTTTGAAAATGGGAGAGACAAATGTTAATACCATTAGTGGTAGTGCAAAATTGATTGAAAGCTCCGGAAGAGCCACTATATTTCTCCCTGAAGGGACTAAAATTATTGTAAATAATGCACTATTCTCTCCCAAGTCTCGAAGAAACTTATTGAGTTTTAAAGATATCCGCGAAAATGGATATCATATCGAGACAATGACTGAGACAAATAGTGAATTTTTATTAATCACAAGTATCATTTATGGGAAAAAATGCGAAGTAGAAAAATTACCTTCTTTTTCTTCTGGGTTATATTATGCACAAATTAGTGCAATTGAAATTCATCACCTAGTAGACTAAAAGTCTACTCATCCCGATGATTTTATAATTTGGCATGATCGTCTCGGACATCCTGGATCTATAATGATGAGACGAATAATTGAGAATTCACATGGCCACTCATTGAAAAATAAAAAAGTATTAAAAGCCAATGAATTCTCTTGTGTTACTTGTTCTCAAGGGAAATTAATTATTAGACCATCACAAGTTAAAGTTGGGACTGAATCCCCTGCATTTCTAGAACGAATTCATGGTGATGTATGTGGGCCTGTAGATCCACCATGTGGACCATTTCGATATTTTATGGTGCTAATTGATGCATCAACTAGATGGTCACATGTATGTTTATTATCTACTCGCAACTTGGCATTTGCGAGATTGCTTGCTCAAATAATTAAATTGCGAGCACAATTTCCAAATTTTCCAATAAAGAAAATTCGTCTAGATAATGCTGGTGAATATTCGTCACATGCTTTTGACGATTATTGTATGTCAATTGGAATAACTGTTGAACATCCTGTAGCCTATGTTCACACACAAAATGGTCTAGCCGAATCACTTATTAAACGGCTACAATTAATTGCTAGACCATTGTTGATGAGGTCTAAGCTTCCTTCATCTGCTTGGGGACATGCTATTTTACATGCAGCAACACTTGTGAGAATTAGGCCGACAAATTATCACACTTATTAGTGTACTCTTTTTCCTTCACTGGGATTTTTGTCCCGATGGGTTTTTCCCTAGTAAGGTTTTAACGAGGCATATTCTTTGTGTAATGGACATCCAAGGGGGAGTGTTATGAAACAACTAAAATGTGGATGTCCCTTTGTATTTCCTAAGAGAATTAATTCATGATTTATGGCTATATTATGTATAGAAATTACAATCCATAAATCTATTCATGTAGTGGAGAAACCGTTTCATAAGTTTCTTCATATTCTTGTAGTAGTGGATGTTTAATAGGATTAATGTACCTTTATCTCACTTGATTTCTAAACATGATCTCTTTTATTGTCTCATTTAGTGTCTCAATTTGATATCCATTTCGACGGATATTCAAATTCAATAATTCATTTCAGACATGGTAAAAAGTAGTGCTTTATTTATGATAAACTTTTCTCCTACAGGGAGAAATATAGTAGTGACTCTTCTGGAGTTTTCAATCACTTAAGCACTACCACTGATTGTGTTTGTCTCTTTTGTTGGAAAATAGTGCATATAGTAGTATTTATTAGCGAGACACATATCATTGTCACCATAATTCTTATGGAACAATATCATCACCATAATTCTTTGATCCCAAATATTTAACATCCATTTCTTCTTCAAGAAGAAAAGTCAATTACTATCATAAATTAAATCAAGCATCATACACCTTCAAGGTGTTTAAAGAAATTGGCCATGTGAAGATGATATTATAATTTTGATTCGTCAAATGTACTTCGGGACATTTATCTTCAGGATCCTTACTTTCTTGTCCTTATCATTATTATCCCACTTCAAGTGGTAACTTTTTCTCTTGTCATGGTAAAATATATATTTACCAAAATCATAGTCAAGGCAACAACCATAACTAATAAATTGAAATTTAGTCGCATTCACTTCTGGGAATGGACTAGAACTAGTATGCAATAAGTACAAAATACTTCTCAAATTTTCTCTCAATATTGCTACTACAGGAGCATATTCGAGAAATCAATTGTGGAGATCATTTTCAATATATTTTATGAGTAAAATTTTCTCAACACAATTTCAACTGAGAAGTAATTCTAAAAATTGTATAATTATGTTCTTGTAGCCACAGGTAAATTTATCATACTAGACTTTTGAAATAATGACCATCTTCTAGTGGCCAAATATTTTCGTTAAAGAACGACCATCTTCAGGTGGTCGAATCTTTTTCTTTAAGTATTTCAAAGGACAAGTGAATCCTCAAACATAATTGATTTTCTATCATAGCATCTCTAAAACTCAATGCATCAAAATATAAGTATTTATAACAAAGACTTATAAAGATAAATAAGGAGAATTAAAAGGAGAAATATTATCTCAAAGATGTCAAACAATATATGTTTGTGTTTAGTGGTTGCTCAATAGTAGGTACTTGTATTTCGCGATAATTCAAATATTAGCCATAAGAAATTGAAATAAGTTTGTGGGTCAGAAATTTATCTCAGAAGTTATTTGAAGAAATGCAGGCAGAATTTTGGCAAAATCTCCTGTTTCACTTTTGTTCAAGGTAGAGCCTCCGTTTTCACCTTTTGCTTAAAAGTAGAGACTCGTGCTGATAACGTGTTGTAAAACTAATAAACTACTATAGTATGAATAGAGATATTAGAGAAAGGAGTAGAGAAATAGAGAGTGATATTCTTATTTTTCAATAAGATACAAAAGTCCTCTAAAAGGGTGTCAATGTACCTCTATATATAGGTACTTCAAAATTAAAGGTACATTAATCCTATTAAATACCCACTACTACAAGAATATGAAGAAACCTATGAAACGGTTTCTCCACTACATGAATAGATTTATGGATTGTAACTTCTATACATAATATAGCTATAAATCATGAATTAATCCTCTTAGGAAATACAAAGGGACATCCACATTTTAGTTGTTTTCATAACAGTTATAGTTTATTTGCACAAATCAAGAAAGGGGTTCAGTGCAATGTATAGTCACCCTGTTATAGCACAAGTTTTTTTTTTTCCTTTTTCGGTTGAAACAAAAATTAACTTCTTCTAAAATAACATAATAAGGAATCTGCTTTATTCATGTTGGCTTCAATAGATTAAGAAAATTTCCCATCCATAAATTAGACAACATCTGCATAAACTGTTTAACTATATTAAGATTTTGATGACTCTCACATGTGACATAACTTATAAGTTACAGTAATTTTGACCCTATTATCAGTTGTACCTAGAGGTGGCAAAATGGGTGATTTGGCGGATTTGGGTTGGGTAAAATGGGTAATGGATATAAGTGAGTCAACCCATGTATATCCATTTAATTAGATGGGTATAAATGGATAAATCAAAAAATGAGTTGGATAACCCAATTATCCATTTATAACCCATTTATTCTAATTTTTTTACAAACTCATATAAATTCATTTTCTAAACTAAATTATCAATTTATACCATTTTACACCCATCATTAATTTTAAATATTTACTTATTATGCCAAATAAGTCTAATTATCAATTTTTTTTCCATCCGCGTGCTATGTTGCAAAATTACATATTATTTAATAATTGAACAATGAGAATCTAAAAATTTGGACTAAATAATATGAAAATTAACATAAAAATTTAATCCAAAACTTTGAACCCTAGTATTTTTTCGTGTATAAATTTAAATTTTCATTTTGAAAAGATAAGAAAGGAGGCTAAAATTTGTCACAAATTAGTGATGCTAAAAAATGATCAAATTAATAAATTACGAGGAAATAAAGTGATAAGACAAAACCAACAAATAAATATAATAAATAAAACAAAAATAGTTAACATAAAAAATAGTTGAAAATCCTGATGAGGATTAGCAATCACTTCATTTAGCATACAAACAAAGATAAATTTTCAATAAATAGGAATAACCGATAGAACAATGAAAGGTTACATGGCCAAAACTTCTTGCCAACCTTCAGTACCAGAAATAAACAATAGCTACTTGAATTCCCATAAATTGGTAGACGAAATAAATACACTTACAATCCATGAAACTTTTACAAGTTAATACTCCTACCAAGGATTGTAACAAAAAGACTGGCAGCAGAAGCAGAATAAGTAAATGGAAATGATAGTACTTCAATGCAACAAAAAATCCTCTTCTCATTTTTCAAAATCCAGGTGGAGCCAGCTCTATCAAAATACTTAACAAGCACTCAGCTTCTCAAGCTTCGTACAACTGCATAGCATAAAACTCCTCTAGCTCACTGTTGGAACGCAACAAGTTTGCTACCAGCTCAACACAAGTTTGCTGCTGGCTCAACACAAAACAGAGAAGATTCCTAGCAACCAAAACCAAATTCAAAGTTTTGTTGTTTGCTACTTAAATTTCATCTAGACAGAAAGATAAAATTCTTTTCACCACATTTCTAACAACTCCATATATCAAGACAATCAACAAAACAAAAATTTGCAGTCAGGCTCAGAATTGTGAAGTGTGAACGGACAGGAAAGGGTTGATACTGCAAAAGTCAACTCTAATCTACTAGCATATTTCCTAAGCTAAACGGAACTTACAAACAAACATCAGAAAATCCTTTTCATTCTAAATCATCAATTTCAATGCAATAATTAAAAGCTTAAACAAAAGATAAATGCTCCTAGCCTTCCTGCCTAACTTACTACCAGATGATCATAAGAATGCAGCTTACCTAAACATGAAGGTTAGTAAGTTTAGCAACTAAAGGTGCAAAGTCAATACTCAGTCTTTCTCTATCTTCTTCATCTTCAGAAGCTAAAATCAAAAGTAAAGTTCAATAAGTGACTAAAAATGTAAAATACAAGATCATGTGCACAAAAAGTATAACATACCTGTTACTCCATATAACCAATCCCTAGTACATAACAAGACCTCCACATTTTCTGGTAGGAGCGAAGTACGAAATTTACCCACAATTCTACCACCAATACTAAAAGCTGATTCCGAGGCCACTGTAGTGATAGGAATACTTAAAATACCTCGTGCCATCAAAGAAATAATAGGGTACCGATTTTTGTTTTCTTTCCAAAAATTGAGAACATCCAATTCTTGAGTTGAAAGGAGTCAAGTATCATCCAAATAAGAGTCTACTTGTGACTTATTCCTCTTGTTTGCATGTTGTTGACTCTCAAATTCAGCAAAATCATCATTGTCATTGCCCAAATCACCACCAGAGCAGCCTGCTATTGATCCATCTAGCAAATCACCATCAAAAGTATTCTCATACTCCTCAAATAGTAAATAAAATTTATCCCGAACTTCCTTAGCACGTTCTTCATAATCAAAAGGATACAGCTTCTTAAAAGCATACACCACATAATCCATTTTGAAGCGCGGATCCAAAATGACAGCAAAACTCAAAACCAAGCTATAACATTCCCAGTACTTCTCAAATTTTAGTTTCATTTGCTTGGCCATTTCACTCACTTCAATGTCTAAATTATTGACCTCTTCCGTGATAACTTTTTGAATTTTCCAGACACCATGAAAATACAAATTTGCAGTTGGATAGTTAGTCCCAAAAAAAAGGTGGTCAGGTCATAAAAAGGCCTCAGCAGTATTGTAAATTTCTGCACCCTAAGCCATTCTTCTTCAGTTGGGTAAAATATGCTGAAGCTACGATCAACCACGTGCAACTGATGAAAGGCAAGCTTATATTCAAGTGCACTATCCAGCATCACAAATGTAGAGTTCCATCTGGTTGGGACATCTTGATGCGCCCTCTTATTGCATGGCAAAGAAACTTGAACAATACACTCTGCAAATTTCAACTTTCTTGATTCACTAGCTCTGATATATTTCACACAGTCTCGGATCTTTGAGACTGGTTTGGAAATAACTTTGACACCATCTTGGACAATCAAATTTAGCACATGTGCATTGCATCTTACATGAAAAAATTCACCCTCACAAAATAGGGTATTTCTTAGCCTCAAATGCTGCTTCAACAGATTCACCATACCATCATTGTAAGATGCGTTTTCCAATGCGATAGTAAAAACTTTTTTTTCAATAGCCCAATCTCTCAATAAACCTATGACTTTTTCAGCTAATATTGGACCACCATGTGGTGGTGGCATGTGGTGAAAATTTAGAACCCTCTTTTGTAAAATCCAATCTTCATGCACGAAATGAGCCGTCAATGCCAAATACCTATCTGTTGCAATAGATGTCCACAAGTCAGTAGTAAGGCAAATTCGACTTGAAATTGAATTTAATTCTGTCTTTACTCTCTCTTTTTCCCTTTTGTACATCTTTTCAATATCAACCTTTATCGTGTTTCTCGAAATGGGTAAAGCATCTGAATTTAAGTATACACACAAGTTTCGAATTCCTTCTTGCTCCACCAGTCTATAAGGATGGTTATGCTTCACAATAGCAATTCCCATCTTTTCCCGATAAATTCCTTGGTCAATTGGAGACCGTTCTTCAAAATCAGATTGTCCACGCCTAGTACAATTTGAAAGATGACGCCATAAGTTGCTTGTTCCGGTTGTTCTACCATATGCATAATCACGCTTGCACCATTTACATTGTGCTCTTTGTGAACCATCTAGTTCAACATACAATATATCAAATTCATTCCAAATCAATGACGTGAGCTGTCTCGAACGCTTAGAAGAATCTTGGATCAACACATCTGTATTGGCAGGCTCATGGCTTGCATAAGAACATTGTTCCTGAATGTGCTCTGACAACTCATCTGTTGGATCAAGATGGGATAGCATTTCTATTATCTATATTACCAACTATGTACACCTCATCTGATGTTTTCCTATCTAAGACTCTCAGCCTTACATATAACTTGTCCTGCCCTGCCCTCTCAGACTTAATTGTGCTGACTGCACTTGCCAGTTTCAATGACTTGATAGCCAAGCCAAGTTTCAACAACTTTCAATTTTCAGCACTTTAAAAAGTTCCTTGCCACTTTGGTTTTTTAGCTTTTGACTCTTTCTAATGGAGGACCTTACAACAGTGATACTGCTGTATTCAGTGCATCAGTATCAGCATCCTGCCAAGGTTAAATAAACAATTGGCTGAAACTTGCTTGTTCAAAAGAACATGGCACTCACTTATTAACTAGTACACAATATTTGCTAATTCAACCAATTTAGTTAGTAATAAGATTCGGTTGCCAACATTGGCAAATGAGAGAGCTACCAAGTTCTTTACACTGAACTACGTAAAATAAAGTGCGTTTTGATTTTATCCAATAGACCTTGCTAACCCAAGATTATCAGATTAAACAATAATTATTTTATCGTCGACTAGTAGTCTGAAATGAAATTGTGAGGCATCTGACCCAAATTATAAGGAGACGGAGTGAAATTCTACAAGTAATCAACACTTTTTACCCAACCCTCCCCTTTTTTCTACACCCACCAGTTCAATACACAGAAATAAATCAGTTAACCTTGGCTAACTTTTGATTTCCTTATATCAAGAGCAAAAACTTCAAGAATGCTTCATTATCGACTGGTATATCATCTGGAGTAGAGAAGTTGAAGAATAATCTCACCTCGAATGCCAACATCATCTGGAGCAAGAGTTCTATTTTTGGGCCAAATTTGTAGCCACCTTCAAGAACCGTCACATCCAACGCCTGAAATCGAATCATGAAGCATCATGAACTTGAAACGTAGATGGTTAGTTTGGCAATAGTCGTGGTTGTACTGTGGGTACTGTTTGCAGAGGTGGTGAGCAGCGGCCAGACTCTTAACATTTCTCCGGGAAAATCTTCAAGACACCGCAGGTTTATTCATAGATCAGCTCAGGAATCGGACATGAAAGGGGCAAAAACCTTCAATTAAGCAGAGACGGGGAGAGGGGAATCAAACACTGTAGGAAGAGAATGGGGGGCGGAAGCGGTGGGCTTGCTGGGGGGAGGGAAGAAGATGACGGTGAAAACTGAAAATAAAAGAAGTTTGGGAATGCAAGTTAAATGGGTTAATTGGGTTTGATGGGTTAAAATGGGTATAATTGGGTAACCCATTTATATCCATATATAAAAATTTAATGTACCCATATCCAATTATAAATGGGCGAGTATGGGTAAAATTAATTAAATGGGTTTATTTGACACCTCTAGTTGTACCTGTTGAACCTGAAGTGCAAGTGAAGGATAGTGAACTTCAAAATTTTGAATAACACTAAATATCTATTGGAAAATTTTGTCTATTCACGTTAGTTTTGATGATTTCCGTCACCTTTCAGTTTAGTTCAAAACACAAGATGTTCGATTGTATGCTTTGAAATTACGGAGAGTGAGCTTTTTTGTATATTCACTTAACCATAAGTGACATTTTTGTTTTTTACCTACCAATTTTCATAAAGTTGTGCCTATTACTGTCATTTTCTAAATGCCATACTGGGTAGTTTAGAATCTAAGAAGATTGGCATTGGACTTGTGAGCTTTATCGAGTTCCAACATCACATGGTTTGAGATCTCTAGGCTATACCGATCAAATTTCGAGCAATTTTGTAAAAAGGGATATATAATACATCTACCAGCATAAAATGGAATTTCCAAAACTGAATTTCACCCTAAGGTTCTATCACAATACATCTACTATCATGATTTACACTTTGATTTTTCTTTTTTTTCTTTTTGATAAATAGAGACATATCATATTGTAAATTTAATTTAGCGTAATACAGTGTTTGTAATGAGTGCAACTCCTTTACATCTCGGGCAAAGAGGGATGTAAGTAAGTGAAAAAGAAAACAAAACTTTCTACCTAACTTTGCTAGCATGTCGTGATCTATACCTTGATGAGTATAATAATGTTAAAAGGATATATTGTCTAGAGTCATAAATGAATAGTTGGTTTTTTATAATAAGGGAAAATATATGTTTCATCCCTCACATTTCGTAAAAAAATTCTTTTTTCCCTCACATTTAAAACGAAACAAATTGATCCTTCACATTTAAAAACCCAAGCTTTTACATCCTAGAAATCAACTCTCAGTTGTGAATCAAACCAATCTAACAACCCGGTTACAAATTTTAGGGGCGTAGAATTGGTAGATCACTCGCAAAAATATATTTCTAACAAATAAATTAAACAATTAAAAAATCTTAATTAAAACCCACTTGCTTCTTCAAAAGAACAAATAGTGCCAAAGCTCTCAAGCCCTAAACCCTTAGAGCAACAAAACCAAGGAATATCGTTGATGTGTTGTCAACTATAGTTCTTATTAATCTAGAACGTATTAAAGTGTTGAATCCTTGTACAAAAACATCAACCATCTTTTTCCACTCCCAATCCTTGCCAACTCCGTTGCATCCTCTTCAGAGAACATGTAAACAAGCCATCTTGCATTCTTTGACCAGACAGCAAGTAGTAGTACCTTATAGAATGTTCTTCATATCCAAGCTCCTCTGCAATCTTATCGAGGGGAACACAAAGACCATCTCTCTGAGTTACAATAGTGATAAACTGGCAACCAAACCCCTACGTATGCTCTCTCATGGTAACTCAAGCTTACCTCCATGATGGACCCTAATAGAAAAAAAGATTGGTGTTTGTTCCTGCCAATAATTATTGAGGCCATTAAACACTTGGGACCACAATAGGTGAACATGTTCACATGCTATAACCATTAATTTATAACTCTAATTTGTCTCATCTTCAATAAATTATCAACATCAAAACAAAAATTAGATTTTTTTACTCCCTAAATATTCCATGCATACAGATAAAAAAAATCGTCCATTTACGACCACAACAACATATTAGAAAACCCTAGTTTCTTGTTCTTCATTTAAATTACACCATAATCAAGATTACCACACAATCATTCAATAATTGTTGTATTTTATTGCACCACAACCCATTTAACGTAAA